CTATGCTTGGAATATCACGATTCACTCAAATGAGAGATAGAATCCGGAGTTCTGATCTTTGTCAAAGCTCAAGAATCAGGGACGCTGTCTCATTTGCCAAGACATCAAAAATCAGATGGGCTGGACACGTAATGAGGTTTACAGACAACCACTGGACTAGAGCCATTACTGATTGGATTCCACGGGACATCAAAAGATCACGTGGATGCCCACCTATAAGATGGTCAGACTTCTTCATCAAGACCCTAAATGATCGGTTTGAGGCTCTGCATGTTCCTAGAATGAACAGATACCATTGGGCTATGCTAGCATGCAACCGGGATGAATGGAGACGTTACTGGCACCCGCTCAAATAAATCGATGAATAACGGGGATTAAGTGATTAATAATTAATAATTATACATGTATAGTGGGCTGGAGCTATAGCACAGTGGTAGGGCATTTACCTTGCACGCAGCCAGGCGGCTGACCCAAGTTCTATTCATCCGCCCCTCTCAGAGGGCCCGGCAAGCTACCAAGAGTATCTTGCCCGCACAGCAAAGTCTAGCAAGCTACCTGTGACATATTTGATATGGCAACTGCAGTAACAACAAAGTCTCACAACGGAGACATTATTGGGCCTGCTCGAGCAAATCGATGAACCACGGGAGGACACTGCTACAGTGTTACATGTATAGCAAGCTATTTGTGTATAGCAGTGGATCCAAATTTTTCACTTTTAAGAACAAGCCTTACATTGAGAAAGACATTTAAATTATTAGTGTGGGATGAGAGAGGTAGCACATGAGGTAGGAACTGTCCTTGCACATGGCCAATCCGGTTGGTCCCCTGAGTGCCACCAGGAGTGATTTCTGAGTGCAGAGCAAGGGGTAAGTCCTGAGTACTGCTGTATATGTTCCCCCCAAAAGACCAAGAGCAATAACAAAAATAATCTTAGGGTTTCCCCAAGGGGGTATTAATTCAAAACTAGTAACAGCTTTTTTTTTTTCTTTTTGGGTCACACCTGGCGATGCATAGGGGTTAATCCTGGTTCATGTACTCCGGAATTACTCCTGGCGGTGCTTGGGGGACCATATGGGATGCTGGGAATCGAACCTGGGTCAGAGGCGTGCAAGGCAAATGCCCTACCCACTGTTGCTATTGCTCCAGCCCCGAAAGTAGTTACAGTTTTAATGGGTCTTTTATTTCCCCCCATCATAATACCTGATACTTACTCAGCAGAGGGAGTGTGAAGGTAATATTTTGAATGGATATATCTGAAGACTTTTTCCACTCATGTCAGAGAGAAGTAGAAAGGCGCATATCAGAATAAATGTTACTGTGGAGAATTTCTCATTTATAGTTACAAATAACATTACAAATGAAAATATCTTATAGTTTAGGTCTACTTAATAAAATATTCACTTAAAATCAATTTGCCTCCAAATATAATGTGAGAAACGGTGTTGTCTGAGGTGTTTCACAGAGGATATCTGGAATAGGTCTTTGCCTGTGATTACAAAATGTAAAAAAATTAAAATAAAGATGAAGAGAGAAATATTTCTCTCCTGGAAGTATCACAGAGCTGAGAGTTTGGCGCTTATTCTGTCCTCCGGCTTTCTGAGAACCTAGATCCACTGGAAACTTATATAAAAATGAAAAGAGACAGAACTCTAATTTGTATCAATGTTAAGTACTTTGATATATTACCTTGGAATCAGATTTCCTTTTTCAGGGAGAAAAGTCAGAGAAAAATCAAATAGGTAACTTAAAGAAGGGGTTATTAAGAGAAAAAAAATGAAAAGGAGTGAGTTACAGTTGACCAAAACCGCCCGAGGCCCCACATCAGTATGCAGAGGATTCCTTAAAGGAGCCTTTGTGAACAGATGACTGACAGAGATTTGCATTTAATTTTCTCGGAGGCACAGAAAACCCTAAACCATCAGTTATTTTGGAATGCTGTGATTGATCAATTAATAATTGAATTCACAAAGATGAGGCATAATCTTAGCTCATAGGAATATGTGATGAGCAGCCAAAATTTTTTTTCCAGTGGAGTCTTAAAAATATTTTCGTGATTGTTCATACCAGATAGAGCTAAAGGTCTCAGGCACGGGTGTTTCATAGAGCTATTGGCTATTAGAATGTGACAGCTAGAAGAACAAAGATCTAGACAAAACAACCACAAAAAAAAAATAGTAAAGAATTCCAAATGAACAGATGTCTCTGTATTAATCAGAGTCCTGATGAGTTAAAAACAATGTCACTTGGAAAGAATCCCTGGCAATATTGGAAGTGTGGAGTATATTGATTTGTAGGACATTCCTCCTGTCTACACTGTGTTTATTCACTCTTGGGTACAAAGAGCAGAGAACTTTGGAACAAGCCTTCCATCACTGGCACCCAATCACTGAGGTAGCCTGATGGAAATCATTCCTGGCAGATCTTTTTGCCCATTAATGTACTTCTTGCTGAAAATACTTGTGTGGGTTGAGGATCAGCTCTTCTTTAGAGTTTTGCATTGAGTTATATCTCAAGTTTTATTTACACCCTCACTTTTTCCCCCCAATCTTTCATGTATTTTCCTATCATCTCATTCCTTTTCTTGCTTAAGATTTCAAAACTCTGGGCCAGTGAGATAGTACAATTGTAAGGCATTTGCTTAAATGCAGGGGACCCTAATTTGGAAACATCTTTTATAGTTCCCTGAGCACCACGTGGGATGTTTCCTGAGAACAGAGCTGGAAATATCCCCTGAACACCACAGGTTGTGGTCCCTAAACAAAAAGCAAACAAATAGAAAGATTTTTCAAACTCAAGAATGAAGTACTAGCCTTTATTCTTTCTATGGCGTTTAAGGATTTGGAAAGCTATCTTTTTCAGCAACAGTGCTGAAACTAAATTCTCCAGTTTAATAAGGGACAGTGTTTGAAATAATCAAGCTGCCAAATGCATGGTAAAACATCAATATTTTGCAAGAATACTTTTATTTCCAACTTCCTAACAAAAATAGCACTTCGGTTGCTACCTCAAGATTTAATATGTTGGGGCTGGAGCAATAGCACAGCGGGTAGGGGGTTTGCCTTGCATGCAGCTGACCAAGGTTCGATTCCCAGCATCTCATATGGTACCCCAATCCAGGGGTAATTCCTGAGTGAATGAACCAGGAGTAACTCCTGAGCATCACCAGGTGTGACCGCCCCCCCCCAAAAAAAGATTTAATATGTTAAGCATGCTGAGTTCTCAGAAAATGTAATGCTAATCACAGATAAGAGTAAATTAAAAATCACTAACCACTTCTTATGGGCTGGAGCGATAGCATAGCAGGTAGGGCATTTGCCTTGCACGCAGCCAATATGGCCAACCCGAGTTCGATTCCTTCACCCCTCTCAGAGAGCCTGGCAAGCTACCGAGAGTATCTCGCCCGCTTGGTAGAGCCTGGCGAACTACCCGTGACGTATTGGATATGCCAAACACAGTAACAACCAGTCTCACGATGGAGACGTTACTGGGCCCGCTCTAGCAAATCAATGAACAACAGGAGGACTGAACCACTTCTTATAGGGCTGGAGTGATAGCACAGCAGGTAAGGCGTTTGCTTTACACGCGGCCAACATGAGTTAGATTCGTCCATTGCTCTTGGAGAGACTGGCAAGCTACTGAGAGTATCTTGCCCCAATGGCAAAGCCTGGCAAGCTACCCGTGACGTATTTGATTTGCCAAAACACAGTAACAACAAGTCTCACAGTGGTGACGTTAACTGGCCCTGCTGGAGCAAATCGATGAACAACGGGAGGACAGTGACAGTGACAGTGACACTACCTCCCATATCACTAATATCCACTTCAAACTGTTTTGCACTTTGTAAAACTGTGATGTTTGAACTAATACTTTAATGGCTGATTCATCTACCTATTATCTATTGCCACTCACTCAATATCTTTTCTTCAATTGCTAAGACTGTTCAAGAATCACTGGGTACAAAAGATCTCAAAAGAGAAAGAAAAACAGAATGAGGGCACCTACTCTAAAGTTTTTAAAACTCCTTTTATTTGGGCTAGAACGATAGTAAATTGGGTAGGACAATTACCTTGGATGTGACAGACCCAGGTTCAATTCCTGGTCCACCAAAAGTGATCCTTGAGCATAGAACCAGGAGTAAGCCCTGAGCACTGCCTGATGTGGCTCCAAAACAAAACAAAAATAAATTAATAAACAAATAAAACCTTCTCTTGGCTGATCCAAGGCAACCACCTATTATTATGCCAGCTATGCCCAGAGTGCCACTTTGATGAACACTTTCGTAAGTGCTGTTCCCCTGGTTGGCTAGCTCTTGAAAGGGCCCCGGGATTTTGTCTGTGAAATTCATCTTCGAGTTTTGAAACTTCATATGTTTATGAAATTAAAGCTTTTGCTTAAAAGCTTTAAGAAGGTAGTTTCGGCACCCTCACTGTCCTGTGCCCAGGTCTCACAGTGGTTTCTTACTGTTTTTCCTTTGGGGTCAAATGCCAATTTCTTGCTGAATCTGTCCCCTCAAGTTTCCCTCCCTCCTCCTGGTTTGTTGCTTATTCTGTGTGGCCGCTTTCTGGCTGCTGCTCCTGCCCATCAGTGCTTAGGCATTTCGTTGTTATCATAATTTCCCATTCTCCATACTGGCCAATTTGGGTGCTGGCTTAGTGCTCAAGGAAGACTTCTACCATATGGGTCAAAAAAAAAAAAAAGGTTCAGGACTGGGTTCTCTTCCCTGTGCTTCCCGTTTATGTGTTCTTCTTGCATTGCCATTTTCACCATTTGATTGGTATCCTTCATGTCTGTTCTTAAATGCTCAGTTAAATTTACTAGATTTTTTTTTTAGCATTTTCCCTAACCCCTTCACCATCAAGGTAATAATCATACTTAATTATTTGAACTCAACAAATACAGAGTTAAGATAATCTAACTGAAAAGCGTATTTGATAGTCACCCCTTCAAGGAGTTGAAAAGGTAAGTTTTGATGACTTATAGAAAACTTTCTCTATTCAAGCACTATATTTAAACTAATATATGGGACTCTTCTCCATTCTTGGTTATGCTGCAGTGACAAAAGAATTCCTGGCTCTTCATGCACAGCTGACTTTCTGCCATTCTGCTGTTGCAATATTGAGTTAAGGAACATGTCTGTAATGAGCAAAATGGAATTCCCTGCCACAGAAATGGAGTGGGGTTGGGGTTGGGGTTGGGGGTGGTGGGAGGGATACCAGGGACATTAGTGGTGGAGAATGGGCATTGGTGAAGGGATTAGCACTGGGTCATTGTATAACTGAAGCATAAGCACAGAAGTTTGTAAGTCTGTAACTGTACCCCAAAGTGATTCATTAACATTTTTTTAAAAGATAAAGGTAAAGGTAAAGGCCCTCCCGTTGATCATCGATTTTGCTGGAGCAGGCCCAGTAACGTCTCCATTGGAGACTTTGTTGTTACTGTGTTTGGCATATTGAATACATCACGGGGAGCTTGCCAGGCTCTGCCATGCGGGTGAGATACTCTTGGTAACTTGCCGTGCTCTCCGAGAGGGGCGGAGGAATTGAACTCGGGTCGGCCATGTTGGCTGCGTGCAAGGCAAACGCCCTACCACTGTGCTATCGCTCCAGTTTTTAAAAGAATAAAATTTAAAAAAAAAACAAAAACCTTTTACTATTCAACCTCCCTAAAATGTTACTGAAGCAGCAAGGGAAGCACAAATCATAACCTAGTAGGTGATTAGAACTGATTTTCTACTGGAGTAGCATACCTCCATAGAAGTAGTCATTAAGTTTCACCCTTTCTTGATGTGTTCACTTCTTTTCAAAAGACCACAGAGAGTATGAGAAATATTTATTTTTTCAGTAAACACAACCAAAAACAAATCTCTGATCTATGCTATAAACATCATATTCATGACTGTCAAGGACAAAAGAAGCCTTTAGATGGAGAAGTGGGATCCTCATAAAATAGACAAGCAGGAGACCTGGAGAGACCCAGCCTATACCTCCCTTGTCTTCAGAAGAAAAGGTGCTAGCCAAAGTGCCCACGGTGTCACAAAGGTGACAACTCCTGCTCCTTTATCCACATAGTGTTAGTGAGCCATGGCAAAGCCAAGACGTCCAGTGTCCCTACCCCACATTGGAAACTGTCTCCTAAATTGTACTGCACTAAAGCCCACCATAACCATTCTGAGTGACTCTAAGAGGAGAGGAAAGAGAGTGGCTCCCAGTTCCAGGAAAGGACACTCTTCCCCATGCATTAAATAGTTCTCTCCTTCTTGGAAAGCAGCACTGGTGCCAGATCAGCTGCAGAGAGGGCTGCTCACCATACACCTTGTTCCCTTTCTCCTTCTTTCAGCAAACTCACTGAGTGTTCAGGTTCAGAGACAAGGGAAATATTTGTCAATTCTTTTTCATTTCACCAAAAAGTATGACAAGCATACACAAAATGTACACGGCTATCATTTCTTAAAAGGAGTTACTCACAGTGGTGAGTATGCATATGTGTGATGGTGGTGGTGATGTGTGTGTGTATGTGTGTGTGTGGAGGGGGGTGGGGTGGTCAGAGAGATAGTACATCTGCAGGTCAGGTGTTTGCCTGCTGGTGACTAATCTAGGTTTGATCCCTGCCATTCGATATAGTCCCTGAAGCACCATCAGGAGTGGTCACTGAGAAGAGAGAATAAACCACTTACCATTACCAGGTGTAGCCCCTATCCCAATACACACACACATACACACACATACACACACACAAATAGAGTATACTACTGTCCTCAAATAAGTGTGATACAGACTTATCATCTTTAGAAACAGTGACCCAAATTTGGAAAGAGAAAATAAAATGAAACAGTGATTCCAATGCTGAGATAAAACAAGATCAGAGAATAAGGATATTAAAGTATTAGTTGGAGGGAAAGTTATAATTCAAAAGGAAATAAAATTATTGTATTTCACATAATTGCTTGCCACAAGCTGGCCATGAGAGCTTGCAAAGGACGTTAGGAACAATTTCTGGGTGGGAAGCATTAGATCCCAGTCAAACTATCTGGCCTAGTGCCTTATCTCCCTTTTGCTCTCCAGTACCTGCATAGTGCAAGTTCCCGTAACCTCATCTGCACACAGACTTCACTGGGTCTAGGAATGCACAATCTTCAGCGGAGGGTGCCACTCTCCCTGAGATCCTCGGGCAGTTCCAAGATCACCGGGCCTCTCTCCCTGCAAGGATGGATGGTATGCAACAAGAAGCTGACTTATTTTTGCTATTTTTCAAATTAACATTTACTTAGCAGTTATGCAAGAGAATAATTGTGATTGATTAAGCGTTTATGTATTATGAGCAGTGCTAAAGGTTTGTCATATGTTAACTCATTACATTTCCAAAAGAGCTCTGTGAGATATTATTAGTTTCATTTATTTCATTGGTGTGGAATATTTCATGACTCAAATTGGCTCTTTCACTGAGTCTAAAGATAGCATGGCTGTAGAAGAAGGCAGTTCCCAGACTTTGGGGGTACCTTGTATCTGTTGTGAGTACAGCTTTTTAGATTTAATTCATTAGTTCTAAAAGGTTGCTTTGACTAACTCCAGGATGAAAGGTGGTAATTAAACATTTTTCTTTCAGTTGCATTTCTATCGACAGTTCATAGGAGGAATTTATTTTTACTATATCTAGTCTCACTAGGGTAAAACAAAAAAAATGCATTTTGTTCCCTTTGAATGAACTACATTGACACATACATAAACATGAGAAATGGTAATTAACATTTGCAACAGAAGTGAAGAAGTTTCCTTGCATCCCTCCTGGAATTGACTGGAGCATATTTACCAATAATATTTGTATCATAAATACAAGTAGAAGTTATAAGAACAAATTTAATCACATGTAAACAGAAGCAGAGAGATAGTAAAGTTAAGAAATGTGCCTTACACCTGATTCTATCCTTAGTATCACTGCCAGGAATGATGCCTGAGACAGAGACAGGAGTAAATCTTGAGCACCACGTGATGTGGCCCAAAAACCAAAGGAAAAAGTACGACAAGCATACAGAAGATGTACATGGCTATGATTTCTTAAGTAAATGGCGGTACAATGAGAGTATTCATATTCTGGAATAAGGAAGGGCATGGTGCAGGTTCAGAGAGTAGAGACGCATTCAGAGAGAATAATTCCTAAGAAGAATACACTTCTCAGCACTTTCATCTTTATGTGCCAAATAGACATGCTTTCCTAATAGAATAGCTATTTTCAGTAACAAATAAATAAATAAATAAATAGACAGATAAATCTCAATTCTGGGCAATGCCTAAATCTTTATTTTTCTAGATAATTAAGGGAATAGTGAAAGTTCTTTTGTGAGCCTGTAGTTGACTTCAGCTTGAACTATATCTAAGAGACACATTTCAATAAACTTATTCTGCACATCTTGGGAAACCCTATGTTTTGAAATGAAAAATTTGAATCCCCTCATTATTCACCTCATTGCCTGTGTATGACTTGAGCACTTATTCACTTGACTTTTCATTAATTGTCAATTTGCTTGAGCGGGCGCCAGTAATGTCTCCATTTGTCCCTGTCGCATTCTGGTGTAGGCCAGTGGCGTCTGTTCTAGGAAAACGAAGAGCCTCATACCTATCATTCATGATCTTGATGAAGAAGTCTGACCATCTGGTAGGTGGGCAGCCATGTGGTCTTTTGACATGTCGTGGAATCCAGTCCATAAGGGCTCTAGTCCAGTGTTCATCTCTAAATCTCATTACGTGACCAGCCCATCTGATTTTTGACACCTTGGCAAACGAGACAGCGTCCCTGATTCTTGATCATCGATGGAGGTCGAAACTCTGGATTCTTTCTCTCATTTGAGTGAAATGTGATACTCCAAGCATAGCTCTTTCAATTCCTCTTTGGGAGACACGAATAGCAAATAGCATTCTCATCTTGTTTGCATAGGGCCCAGGTCTCTAAGGCATATGTTAATGCAGGAAGAACAGTGGAATCAAAGAGATGTGCCCAGAGCCAGAGGTTCTTCGTCCTCTTAGCTATTTCTTCGACTTTCTTGAAGGCGTTTCAAGCCGCTCTCTTCCTCCTGTGTAACTCAGGTGCCAGGTCATTTGTCATGTTGACTTCTGGACCTAGGTATACATGACTGTTGCATTCAGAGATGGTCGTTCCATTGAGAGCAAATGGAGCATCAGGAACAAGGCTGTTTCTCATAAACATTGTCTCTGTAAGATTCAGCTGTAGTCTGACCTTTCCACACTCACTGCCAAAGTCGGCCAGCATTTGTGCCGCTTGGCTAATGTTTGGTGTTATTAAAACAATATCATCAGCAAAGCGGAGGTGGTGTAATTGCCGACCATCTATCTTCACTCCCATTCCTTCCCAATCCAGTCGTCGCACGATGTTCTCGAGGGTGGCACTAAAGAGTTTCGGTGAAATGGTATCACCCTGCCGAACACCTCTCTTGACATCAATGATTATTTCTTGTAGTGAATCCTCAATACAGCTCACGGAGGATCCTGATGTATTGAGTTTGAATGCCCTGATTGGCTGGGGCTTCAATGACAGCTCCCGTCTCAACAGAAACAAAAGCCTTCTTTAAATCAATGAACGTTAGACAGAGTGGCATCTTGAACTCCCCAGAAACCTCAATGAAACCTCTATGAAGAACCTGCCATCAGTACTCATCAATACGCTGGCTCAGCTCTTCACATGCTACCTATCTGAATGCAAGGTTCCATCCCAATGGAAAACCAGCAGGTCTGTACTACTGTACAAGAAGGGAGACATACACGACATTGGCAACTATCGCCCGATCTGCCTATTGTTTGTCATCTACAAGTTGTTCACTCAAGTCATCCTGAATAGGATTGGCAGAACACTAGATGAAGGACAACCATGTGAGCAAGTCGCGTTCCTCAAAAGATTCAGGAAAATGAACCATATCCACAAGATAAACAAGCTCATTGCCTGTGTATATGTAAATAAATTCTCTCTCCCTCTATCTCCAGATATGTGTTTATGCAAAAATACAAATATATATAAATATAATGAGTAAAGAAAACTATATGAAAATATCTTTCATGTAAAGGGTTTTTCTTCAGTTCTATTATTTTCTTTAGTGTTATAAAAACACTGAATGTAACATAGTCAAT